GGTGTAATTATAGAAATTTGGTATTCTGCTACCTTTATGCATATTCACTTTATGAACTTAGACCTCCAAAAGCCTCTTAGGACTGCTTCTCCATTTTTAATAAGTATTGAGAATGAGGCACTTCCTAAAGGAATTAAAGGAAGGAGTTTTTTTTTAAGCTTAGCAGCAACCAAAAACAAAGAAGCAGCTCTTCAGCTGGTTTTTGTGTGTGTGCTTTAAGAGTACTACAAACCTTTGGGGGGTCAGCAAAGAAATTTTGGCTTAGCAATTAGAGGGACAACTAATCTATCAGAAAAAAAATTAAGTATGTATTGCAACTCCTAAATAGTATCAGCGGGGTCTCTCTGCAGTTGCTGGAAATACTCATCTTGGGAAAAGGAGGGGCTTTCAGAGAAATCCCAGGAGATTTGGTAACAGAGAGCCTGGAGCTACCAGCTGGATCATGCATGTCACAATACCAGTCAACTGAAGGGAGAGCTGGGACTTAGCTCAGACTAAGCAAGCACTCACGCCTATGCATTCTGCGGGCTCCCAATCCCAGAACTCTGCTCCGTGAGGTTTCATCACACTTCAGGGAGCTTATTAAAGAATGTCAGGCCTGTTGAGAGGCTGGTTTTGTATGCCATTTCCCCCACCCCCAAAATTAAAATTAATGCTGCAAACCCCTCAATTCCATGAATCTTCAAGGATGTAAAACTACTGATAAAGACATAATGAGTGCTGTGAGCAGCTTTGAAGTCATTCCTTTCTTCACCCTCTGTCTTACTAGTAGGGCCCAGAGAAGTTGTTAGTTGCCCAAAGTCAGACAGCTTTTTTATGAAAGCTCCTTTTTCACCCAGCTCGTCTGAGTCCACGAAGGAAGTCTAACATGTGGGTCAAGCTTATTTTGGCACCCTGCCGTCCCATTGTCCCACATCAGTCTGGTTCAGGGCAGAGGCCATATGAAGAATATATGTGCTGTGCTGGGAACTGTTTTGTTCTCAGTTACCTCAAAACAGTAGCTGACTTGGAGATGGGATGCCTCTTCCAAAGTTGGATTAGATTGAACTTTATTTTGCCAAGAACATTTAAGATGTATGAGGTTTCAAGCTCCCAGGTGGGTGCATCAGTTGGTGAAGCCATTAGTTGAATGTCAGGGCCTTTTTTTCCCCTCTTAGAATCTGGACTCTTTTCTTTCCCTGCTGTGCATGATGAAATCTGAAATATTTATGTGGGCTTTATAATGACTATTTAGCATTTAATGCACCTGATATTTGCCCAAGTGCTTAACAATCAGCGTTCATTAACAGGAAAATAACTGCTAGAAAATCTGTGCTGTGATATTTAGGGAGCAAGTACCTTTGGGGCTTCATAGGGTGTCCCTGGGAACTGTGTTGGAGCCAATGATTCGGGAATGAAAATCATTGGCCAAGTTCTGCCTGAGGCCTCATACTAAAACTATCTCCCTAGTTTACTAGATTTCATTCCAATAATCCTGAAGGATACCATGATATTATGCATTTCATTCACTCATCAAGCACTTATTAAACATCAACTAGGTGAAAAGGCTCCTCCCATGATGCCTTGGGTCTGGCCTTAATGGAATTAGTGGTTCTCAGTGGCAGGGGCCAGGGGAAGGGAGGCAGGTAGGGGAATCTGGCCATGTCTAGAAACATTTTTGGTTGTCATTGCTGGAGGGGGTGCTACTGGCATCTAGTGGTAGAGGCCTGGGCTGCTGCTGAACATCCTGGGATGCACAGGACAGGCTAGCAGAACAAAGAGTTACCTAGTCCAAAATGTCAGTTGTGCTGAGGAACCATGTTGTAAGCCTTATCTCTCTGGTTTATAATTGTTAGGTTACATATCAGCCTCTCCCACCATATTGTAGGATCTTTGAGTGCAGACTATTTATTTTCATTGTATCTCAGCACCTAACACATGACAGAGAACTCAGTATATAGTGTTGAATGAATTATTGAAGATGTATCCTATCCCTTAGAAACCCCATGATTTCAGGGGTGAACATAGGTAAACAGGAGATTTAGGGATAAAATGTGTCTGGTCTCTTCTAAGGTACAGTCAGATAAGAGCTATTGCGTGTGACCTTGTAATTTATCATCCAAGCAGATACACTTTTGAGAATGCAGGTGAGCACTTTCAGATGATTATGGCACAGCAACAGGTGAAACCCTCCAACAGGCCTGCCCTACACAGATCAGGGCACATTGCTGGTAACCCTGGCTGTGGTCCACACTTCACTGAGCACCCACTGTGGAGGAGGTGCCAATCTTCCTGGAATCTGCCACCACACACAAGCTAGGCTAGACTTACACCGAGTTTCATGGGTAGCTGGAGAAGTTTACTTTGCATGGTACAATGTAAAACGTTAGTAAAAGTAAATTAATAAATGAACAAATGAATGAATGATGAATAAGTAAGTAAATAAATAAGTAAATAAATAAATAAATAAATAAACAAAACCTTGTTAGAAGCTTTCCAGGCTGCCATTTCATGCCCACCCTATGCCAGCTGACTGCTCTGAGGCCAGCAACTTTCTCTTCTGCTTCTTGAACCTCCCCCCACCAGCCTCTCTAAGCCTTTCAAGTTTTCCTCCTTCCAAGATTGCCCTGCCTCCGTTTTTAGCACAAACATGGAACACTCTCTCAGCTTGCATCCCTGCGCCCGTTAGCCTTGCTCAATCACCAAGGGATCATCCTTGTGTAGGAACCAGTTAGGGACTGGAAATGAAAATAACCTTTCCAAGATGTGGTTCTCATGGCTCCAAGCTACAGTTGGAGTTCCTGCAATGCTCTGGCTACAGATGGATGTCAAGATTAACCCTACCCAGGACTGTATGGAAAAGCTTTGCAGAAGAAACAATGTTCAACAGACTTTGTTGTCAGTTTTTCAAAGGATATTTAATCATCAAGACTGTGGAAACATGGCAGAAGGCCTGGGCCTCATGTTCTCTGGGCAAGTAGAATTGTCTTCAGCCACAAGCATACCTTGTGTGTTGGGGATGGGGTGGGGAAGGAGGGACTCAGAATGATCTTATACAGAAACTTACTAAAGAGATCTTATAGAGAAACTCACATATATAACTCATATGTGGTTTGTGACCTTCTCCAAGCCTAGGCTTTGAAAGAAAGACTGATGCTTCAAGTTAACTTTCTATTTTCCTTTTTCTGTTTCTAGAAAAACTAAACTCTATTTTGCTAAAAACCAGTTGTTTACAATGTTTAGTGCAGTTATTGTGAAAATAACTGCCTACTTCACTATGATCCAAAGCATCGTGGTTTTATTATAAGCAGATATTAGAGACAAAGTTACTATCATTAAATTTAATAACTTCCTTTATCCTGTAATACCACCTGACACATAACTGCAGTAGCGAAATCCCCAACTGAGACTGTCATATACCATCTCTTCCTAGACTAGATTAACATCCTCGCCACAAGATGAAAAGCATCCATCACCCTTGTATAGGTTTAGAGATTTCACTGCTTTGTATGTGTTTGATATCACGTGGGCCTTTCAGAATAAAATGTTACTGGTACTTGATATATTCTATTTCAGTTGGCTTTCTGCAAGGACATGAAACAAACACCAGATGGTGATTTGTATAAGGATAAGGGAACTGGTGCTAATTTTAGAAAGTTCTTGGCCATTTTGCTAACCCAATAAGAAGGGAATTCTCATTTGGAATGACTTTCGAAGTTTGAAGAAACAGCTGTCTGATTTTCTTAAACTGTGCCATCATTCTGCTTAACAGTCAGGCCGGACCATAGTATTCCATGCATAGAAGACATGTTCTCCAAATGTTTTTTCCAAATGATTGGTCAATATATTGACCAAGACAATGGACAGTCCTTTCTATATGCACTCTACCCCTAAATGCTATGATTTTCAGCTAGTCAAACTGGCTGCACCATTTTTTAATCTCTGGTCTAAATTGTCAGGTGGGAGATCTCACTGAAAAGGCTTACTGGTGAGGAGAATTACATGTAAGGTGTCATGATGCAAAGTTTGGGCAACTCCAGGCCTGGTTGCAATTTGTAAGGCAGATGGCTATGCTAATACAGTTCTCACACTCAGCTGCAAGGTAAACTGTGAACCAGGGAGCAGCAGGTGTCTGGGTAAATGCAATGCTTAAATACTGTCTGCATGTTTACAGTTTGCTCTTAGAGACCGAAATCTTCCTAACTGAATTCAACAAACAGTTATGGAGAAATCATTATATGTAAAACACTTTGCTAGGCACTGAGACCCAGAGAATGTTAAATTATAGAGTCCTAGCTTTAGGTCAGTTTGGCTCACTGGATCCGGGGCTGTAATGAGGGAAAAGCAAATATGGTATAGGAAGAAATAAAGAACAGGAGATGGAATTCAACCAGAGAAACTTGGAATTTTTTTTTTTGAGGAGCTGAAGTCCAGTGTGAAAACAAGAGCTGGGTTTCTGTGGGCAAAGCTGGTGGGAAACTTCTTCCATGAGTAGAGAAGTGGAGTGAGCAGCCAGACACAGAAGAGACAGAGGGGTGTGTGCATGCATGAGGGCGGGTGTGGCGTGAGGGAGGGTGCGTGAGTGTGCATGTGTGAGGAGGGAAAGTGTGTTAGGATCAGAGTATTAAAGGTGGAGGAATTAGTACGAGACGAGGCTATTAAAGGGTGCTTGAGCCTAATTGTGGAGCACAGACATTCATTCTATAAAAGATCTCTGACTGCTCCTGTGCCTCTGCCTCAAAAAAATGTTCTCAAGGCAGATGAATTCTATGCTGAATTCTAAGGAAGTTCTCAACTGGAGAAGGGTATTAGCAAACCTGCACTTTAAAAAGCTATATGAATAAATACTGTGCTGGTAATGGAGGTAGGGTGGGATGGGGTGGTTGGCAGATGAATGTAATAGTCTGAAGAGGAAGCTGTAAGAGTCTAATCATAACATCACCCCTGTCTTGAGCACTGATTTCATGTCAAGCGTGAAACCAAGGGCTTTGCATGCATTACTGATTTAGAACTCACAGAAATCCTATGAGCTAAGTGTGTTTATTCCCATTCCGAGTGAGGCCCAAGGTAAGTAGCATGGATGGTGAATGGCTGAGCCAGAAGTGAAGCCAGAACTGTCGGATCCAGGGCCTGGGCTGGCAGCCACCACCGTACACTGTCCCCAAGGAAGGCTGGAGGGGAAGAATGGGAGGAGCTTCGGGAGGCTCCCCGTGTAGCATCCAGCCAAGCTGTTCCCTGCAGGTGGAGGAAGAGGTTAGGGGGAGAGACACTGGCTCTTTTTCAAACAAATTAAACTGGAGGACTGGAGGACATCCACAGGTGGAGAACAGCAAAGAGATGGCGTATGGATCAAAATTCAGAGGAGAGAAAGGAGTGAAAAGAGAAGTTATAACCTTACAAACTCCCATATTTCAGGGATTAAATGAAGAAAGGGCTCTCAAAGAAAACTCAAAGAACTTAGGGTAGTAGTATTGACCATCAGAAGATCTCCCAGCTAAAAGATTTTGAAATAAAAGAAATGAGAGGTTTTCCCTAACTATCCCTAGCTTAAAAGAAAATTTAGAAATACAGTGGTACTTTTTTTTCATGTATATAATTGTATCTGGGTAAACAGAGCCCCAACATGTATCCTGATGAAATAACCACCCAAGACCCTGACCGACCTGTGCCCCAAAACTGCGTGAGTTCGGGGGGGCGGGTCCACCAAGCCGACACACTGAGCTGGTAGAGTTTGCTATTAGTAGGCATCCTGCTCTTCCCTCTGCCTGGAGGGCTCTCTCCAGACACCCACCTGCTGGTTCCCTGTATTCCTCAGGGCTTTACTCAAAGCCTATCTTCTTAGTAAGGTTTCTCTGGTCACCTACCAACATGCCACCCCCTATCCCTCTTCCTCTCATTGTTTTTTCTCCATAACACTTAACCACTATCCAAACCATTACCCACTTTACTCATTTACCCAGCTCCTGCACAGGAAGTTATATTTGCAGGGGCAGGAATTTTGCTTTTGTCCACCATTCTATCCCCAGTACATAGAAGACCCATGGTGGAAAGTGAATGAATGATCAGTGATGTTTCCTGAGTTTGTGTTTCTTTTGGTGTTTTGTATTGTGCTGGTCTATCTACCTAACTTTCCTATTTCTCATGCATAAGTAATTTGAAATTCTTTCTGATGTTGGTGCCTCATCTAGCTATAAGAACAAACAGACAAACGTAAAACGTGTTGTCTGTCATTTTAAGGAAGAACACTCTGGTATTTCTCCTTAGTTTTGAATGTGAAGTGAGGCAGGGGTGGGATGAAATGAAGGACGGCTCCATTTTTAAATTATTAAAAATGAATTATGAATTTTCATTTGAAAGGTCTTCACATTCATGCTTATAAATAGCAATTATATGACCCAGTTGAGGTAGGAGCTGTTTAATGGCTAAGGTGAAATTAGTCTTCACATCCGTTTCGTTTTTAGAAACAAAGAAGTTGGTGGATATTAGAAAAAGAAAGCTATTTGATTACTTTTTTTCATGAGCAAAGTTCATTAAAACCTCTTTAGAACAGAAATCACAATTTTGAGAAAGTCTCACTTGTCTTACAGAAAATACATGTGTATTGGTAACACGCAAGTGATTTAGCAAACACAACAGAACCTGAGAATAACACTGCATTTCATCCCCAAATTCATGGAATTAAGTGCCCTGGGCAAGTAAAAATGTAACTTAGAAAAATACTTTAATAACTGTTCATTGCTTGTAGCAATACAAATCCCAAACCAGGCACGGCCTGTGGGAAGTGAAATAGCAGTGAAGGTAGATTTCAGGATAATGTGGAAGGAAATACCCACAAAAGCCGGGCACACAGTGCAGTATAAGGGCCGCAAAGGGAGAAGTTCTCCTGGGAAGCTGTCGCTTAGCTTCCAAGAAGCTCAAGCATCAACCTAATGCAAATGTCGACATTTAAATTAACACAATGTGAAAACTTCAATTTAGTGACCACTTAGCCAGTGTCTGTCCTGAAAAACCCATAGGTTGTTCCCATTTTAGTCAAGTGGGTTGGCATCCAGCATTCAGTCTCACTTCCAGAAATGCTTCACCTCTGCCACCAGTGATCTGCTTTGGGAATTCATTCTTGACAAGCAAGTTTCCTTGTTAAACAATTCTGGCCTATGTCTTATATACCCGGATATAATAATGCTAACATATTTATTGAACACTTAGTGTATATCTGACATGTAATGAGAGTTTCGTGTAAGTTACATCTCATTTAATCCTCCCAAAATTTTGTGAGATAGGTAATACCCCTATTTTATTTTACAGACAGGGAAACTACGGTTGAGAGGGTTTAAGGATCTTGGCTGAAGTCACACAGTGAGTCAGCATTGAAGAATCTAAAACTGACTTCAGAGCTATAGCAATTAACCCCTATGTTCTACTGCCCTTCTAAAGAATGAAAACCAAAGAGATGGTAAAATGGTCAAGGAGGGACTCCCAAGGGGTGTATTTCTACCACTGTCCTGAGTATGATCAGAAAAGCTATGTACTAACCCAGAAAAAAGACTCATCCAGTCTCTTCTCCAGCTTGACACTTCATCAGTTACTTCAAGGGAGCAATAGGTTGAGGACTACTCTTTTGAAACCTTTGGGTAAGGTGGGAGTTGGGGCATGGGGTTGTTGCCAAAACCAAACCAAACCAAACCAAAAAACCTCGTGGCCATTTTAAGCCAGCAACATAGCAGAGTACAGTGTATATGCGTTTGATGTAAGATAACTCAACAATATGTGCTTATCAAAAAAAAAAGGTAGAAGCTTACAAAATGTGCACATATACATTTTGAATGAAGATGTAGACAGAAAAAAATTCCAGTCCACAGGCAGTCGTACAGCCACCGCATCAGAATGCATCAGCGGAGCAGTATACGTCTCAGCTCCCTTATGTCTCTCACAGTGAGAGCATCTCCCTGCATGGAAGCAATTCCAGTGTTCAAAGGTACACAGTTTTCATGCATGGCCTCTAAACATAAGACCTTACACATGAACAAGGCAAGACCACGGCTCGCTATGGGAGACTTGAAAGGCTTGTCAGAGATATTTCAACTTTTGGTGATTTTCTCATTACAAAAGGTTTTTAGACTCCATCGCCACTTGTGTATGGTTCTCATATTTTCAACACATTTTTAAAGGTTATTGTTACTGCAAGTGTGGATTTCCTTTTAACTTAAGCTACACACAGTTACCTTGATGGTACCATAATTTGGCTTCCACGGGCTCTGAAAATCATCAAAACAAAATACTTGCAAAATGTTTATTTCCCAGGCTCAAGACTGTTTGCCACAGTGCATACATGGAACGGGGTCGATCCCAGAGCTATGCAACCAGGAGGTTGCATACTTACCTCTTGAACAAGATGCAGGTTTCTTTGTGCTCTTAAAAAAGCACTTTCTATTTAGCTTCATTTTTGTAATAGTGAAAGATTTTTTTTTAAAGAAGTAATATGAGCAGCACTTAACAGGGGCAGCTTTGCAAACTGGTATAAGATTATTACATATTCAGCTAATTTCTGCAAATTTGTCTGCAATCAGGGTTTTCTTTGTGACTAAGAATATCTTACATAGAGCCTTCACTCTTTTAATGGTTCATTTCTTTCTCTCATAAACAGGATACAATATGGCATATAATATGGCTATGTGCCCACATAGCATAACCACTCAAGACCAGATTCAAATAATATCCATTTTAGCTAAGTCCATATTATTGGACTTTTGTCTAATGATACTAGTCTTAATCTCCTGATACTCAGGTCCACAAGTTTCACCAAGCAGCCAATTTAAAAAAAAAGAAAAAAAATGGCATATGCATATGTGTTTCTTCTTTATTAATATAAGATTTTTACTCTGTGTGCTTTATAGCTATTAATATAACACTGGAATAACTGCCACAGTTAAAAAAATATATATGTGACACAGTTCCAGTAAGACATCACCTTAGCAAAGCCTTAATGATTGGGTCCCCAGGCTCTGGAGTCAAACCAGGTTTGTGTCCTGCTTCTACCACTTGCCAACTGGTGACCTTGGGCAGTTTACTTAACCTCTCTGTGCCTCCACATCCTCACCTGTTAACTGAGTAATAGTACCTACCTTATCATTGAGAAGTAAGTGAGGTTAACATTTAGCACAGTGCCTGATATGTAAAAATTAATAAATGTTAGAAGACAAAAAGTAGGAAGAAAGTTATCTGAAAATTGAACTGGGAAAATCAGACCTACGTATATGAAAATTAGACTGAATGGCAATATGTGCAAAATGGAGTGGGAAAGTCTTTGAGACCGGGACGAAGGAGAGCCCTGGATGGTGGAATAGACGGGGAAGTCTTTATGGAGCAAGACTCACGTAGGCTCAGACTGTGCTTCTCAAAGTCTGTGCACCAGCAGCCCTGGCATAACATGAAAGCCTGTTAGAAACGCAGACCCTCAGGCCTTACTCCAGACCTCCTGAGTCAGAAGGTGCATTTCAACAAGAGGCTCAGGATCTCCAGGGCACATAAAGTGGAGAAGCCCTGCTCTGGGATGTACCTTGCTTCTCAAAGCGTTCAGACCTGCCATTATCTCCTATCACACACATCAGCACTTAGGAAAGAGTAGGATCGGGGAGAGGGAGACTAACCTTCCAAAAACTCCCACTGCAAAAAACTGAGTGTTAGGTTCTGACAGTTATATGTTGGAAATATGATAGAACTGACAAAAATAAGTGGTATCAGCTAAATACAGCATGAAACATAAGTTATGATTCAATTAATATTTATGCCCAGACAGGGTAAAAATCACAAATATTTATTTCATCCAGACTGAAAATGAAAACCAAAAAAGCATATGATCACTCTGTTTGAGAGAGTTTAGGCAGAAGTCCCTGGTACCCTCAGGCTTTCCAAACACATGTGCTCTCCTAGAATACAACATTTCAATTCCGTGTGCCTCTCGGTCCATTCTCTTCACACACACACCAAACAACAACACAAGGTCTCGATGCATTAGGTACACAGCACACATTGCAGACAGACACAAACACACCCAGACTCACCCACATGTTGCTGCTTTTTCATGTCGGCCTTCCTTCTGTCCTTAGGCATCTGCTCAAATCTTGCTTGCAGCAGACACAGAATCTTTGATCTGGAAGAAAGTTATAGGGAGTGGGATAAGGACATAGGAAACCAATGGTGAAAATAATTATCACTTATCAGGTGCCTACTTGTGCAAGCTGTTACCCCCACAAGTTACCCATTCTTTTTGCAAAAATTCTCTAAGACAATCAATTCTCTCCCATTTCAATTGAGGAAATGAAGGCTGACAAGGTCACATAATGACCAAAGGCTATGTAACCAAGAAGAGGCGTAACTGAGACTTGAACTCAGGTCTGTTTCTCTCCAACCAACCAAGTAAAGCCAACATCTAAAACTCCACTAGCCATCTTTCTGAGGAATGGCTTCTAATTTGTAATTCAAATGTAATATTTTTCCTTACTTTCACTTGGTATGATGAGGAGGGAAATGGCAAAGGAATTTCTGAAGTCAGAGTGGATTTAAGCTATGGCTGGTGAAGTGCACGGTAATTTCCTCCTTGGTATTTTAGAACTTCTTCATTTTAACCATCTGTTGCAGGCTGACAGATGGGTTGATGTATGACAGAATAATGGGTCTTCAATTCTAGAAAGACATAAGGAATGCTTGAAAAATAGCAGCTCTTTTCATGAACCTAACTGTGCTAACACCTCTTGCTCACTTGCAAAAAAAAAAAGTTGGTGGGAGGGAAGTGTGAAATATAATCATAATCATTCCCCTAAACAGAAAGTTTCTCGTAATTGCCAAAGGTCAAATCCAGTAAAATATGCTTATTCTAAAATTATGTTAACGTTTTCAAATTCAGTCGTTTAAAAGAATATATGGGGGAAAGGTATACATAAAGAAAATAATAAAAATGAACCCTAAAAAAACCCTTCTTCCATCCCTATGTTCTATACATTTAATTTTCTTTTTTATAGGCAGCCAGTGTTATGAGTTTCTTGTATGTGAGATAACTCAGGAAACATGCAGATTTTTGAAATCCAAATGATTTTCCCTCCAAGTGACCCCTTCAAATGTGAAGTCTCTGTCCTTTCTTCTTGCATATCTCATAGTGGATATATATATGTGAGAAGCACATATATGGTCAGTGTTTGGCTAGGCACTAGGACACAGGTGGTTAAGACTGACCAATCCCCAGGAAACTTAAAATCCATTGAATGAGACCAAATGTGGACAGAATTTAAATAGCACCTACTATGTGTTTTCTGAGAACATAGCAATGATCAAAGAACTCATTGATCATAGCAGGGGCTCATTTTCCCCAGGCAGAACTTCTTCAAATAGCCTTACATGTCTTAGCACAATTCTTTCCCAGTCTTGCATTGCACACAGATGAAATATTCACACACGTATGCATGTGCATGCTCATGTGCATGCACACACACACACACACACACACACACGCACACTCACACAACAGGTTGTTGCCAAATAGGCTTAAAGCTCTACACACAGAGAATCATTGGCTCAAACTTTAGACTATGTTAACAAAATTGTGGTCGTATGAATTTAACCTCAGCAGACTGAATCTGTTTTCAAAAGAACAGAATGAAAAACAAATCGAGTCATTACAGCTGAATTTATGGTCAGATGTCCTTGATCCTGACAAATCTGGGCCATGACACTTGAAGATTTCATCGCCTTATCACCATCAGCATCCCAACCATTAATGCAACAATTAAAATAGTCCGGTCTCTGTGCTTAACATTTTTAATTTTAATCTTTACAATAATCCCGCAAAGTAGGCATTCCTATTCCATGTTACAGATGTGACCACTATAAGGCTCACAGGGTTTTAAAATCCATGATCAGATTTGCATTATTGTATTATTTCTAGCTATGCTTATCAATTCTTACATGCCCTATCTAGGAGATCTCAGTAGTATAGAATAGTAAATTAACAATAGGATTATGTTTTCAAAGGAGTATTTGACAGCCTGGATTTATCTCGGGAGTTTCTTCCCACTCTTATTATTACATAATTCTGGGGGAGGATGAAGTACATTCTTTCCAGTTCCTTGTGGGGCACAGGCCAGTCTAGGGGGACAGGGAAAGCTGCACAGGTCTTATTGTATCCAAGATTGTTTTTTTAGGTTTGTCCCTTGGGTGCTTCTCAAAACAGATTCATGTTGAAAATTAAATATGCCACAAAATGGCTTATCTGGAAGGCCTATGAATTAGTGACAAGAGGAAGCTTTGGGCTTTTCTCTGCTTCCTGCTTACTCCTTGCCCAAAAAGAATGCATGTTGACATTGATCAGGACCAAGATTTATTGGGCCATGCTGCTAGCAGGAGGTCTAAGAGGAGGGCATGCCTGCTTGTTTATTGTGAATTTCGGTGGCCAACGTGTCTCCTGAGGCTGTTGGCTCTCTATATTTGCACACCTGCCAACCTCTCTCTTAGAAAGCCAAGCAATAAACAAAGTGGGCCCAGAAGTAAAGGGTCTGAGTTGGACCTGTTTACAAATCTAAATATTGGCAGAAGAGTCTTCCTGCCTTTCTGGACCTCAAACTCTAGAAGTTTGTAAGCCTAGGGAAACAACCAGGGTTAAATGTTTCTAAGTGAGCTGGTAGCTTATGCAGAAAATGCTATTCCTTCCAAATGGTTGGTTATTGGTTTTGACACATCTTCCCATAAGTACAGGAAACAAGTAAGAGGCCCATGTCTTAGACCCAGGGGTGAAGCAACTGCTAAAACCAGTTTGGATGTCTTAAAAATAACTGGGAGAAAAAAATCACATTTATAAAGTTATCCAAGGCCATATCCAGAAATTTGGAGATGTTTATTGAACACCATATCAATCTTTTTCATTTTGATGTATTTTTTAGCACTTCCAAATTATTTCTGGTACTACCATAGAACCAGCTAGACGAGAATACTAAGATTTAGGTAATTCATCACCAGCTTTATTGTACTTGACATGAAACATTTGGGCACTGTAAACATATCTGGAAGTCACCAGATGTCAGGCAGAGTATACATGAAACATCTGGAGGGAATGTAGCATAGGGGACATGGTGGAGACTTGAAGTCAAAAGCAGCCAGATGTGAATGTCATTTCTCACATGTACTCTGAGCTTCAGTCTTCTCTGAACATACCAAGTCCTTTTCCTGCAAAGCCATTATCACCATTTGTAATTATACATTCTTAAGCGATTATTTCAGTAGGGTCTTTCCTCCAAATAGAATAAAGACTAGGGCCATGTCTGTTTTTAATAACTACTGTATTCCTAAGACCTGACACCTAAGTATCACTAAGTCTGTTCTTACTATAGATTTGTCAAATAACTGAATGAACCCACATGATGTATTTGACCACCAAAACCCACTGAATAATACCGATACACCTTTCTATACTGTTGTATATTCAATTAGTATACATAGAATTTTCCTGTGTATGTATGAAAATTCACTGAGGGCTTACTATTTGTCAGGCACTGAGGTAGGCATTTTATTGAATTAACTCATTTATCCTTGGCAAAACCCTGTGAAAATATGTGTCATCATTGCCCCCTCTAGAGATAGAAAAACTGAGGCTTAATGGGGTCCAGAGCTAGTTAGTAAGAGTTGAGAACCCAGGGCTGCCTGATTTAAAAAACTTAGCTCTCATGTGATACTTTATTTTCTAAAAAACTATAATAAAAAAACCTCCCTCACAAATTCTTAATGAAGATTAAGTAGAATAATGTATATAAAGGTCTTAGCATAGTGCCTTGCTTATCATAAGCACTGAATCAATAGCTTCTGTTACTAGTACTACTACTACTTCCACTATTAATTCATTTTGAACAGTTATTAATTTTCCAAAATTACTATGAACTTGTTTTGAAAGGTTTATGGTATTTGTAATGAAAAGCTTAGGTAGGATCAATTGGAAATCAAATCAGATTTCAAGCAGTGTTTTCAACCTATGATGCAGAGCAGCATTGCAGCTAGAAAGTGAGGACTTTGCATCCTTTCTGAGATTGTCAGACAGCCAAGAAGACCTTCCTCTTGCACCAAGATTATGAAATCAATTGTCTATGATGAGCCAAAGAGGGAGATGCAGAGAATCTTTAAAAGTCTTCTTTTCATAAGAGAAGTCAAAAACAAGAAACAGGGGGCCTCAGTTCCACAGATGTGCAACCACAAATCAATGGATAAAGTTCTCTGGAAACAGACTGGAAAAAGAAAAAATGCAGTATGTCCATCACAATCAAATTGAACTTAAAAGAGAATAAGAAATGAAATCCTACATTGATTCTCAAGCACAAGTCAGATTCTTCACACATGAAATAAGATAATTAATTATTAGCCAGCCCTTGTAACAGAAGAGCTTCATCATCCACTATATATCTCTCCCTGCAAAGTCCATTAATTGACAGTGGGACAATAATGCATCTTACAGTAACACCATGGAACAACCAGAAAGCCCAGGGAAAGGAGAGGCATAAACCACAGGAGGGCTGAGAACAGAACCTCTCTGACTGGTATCTCCCAGCCTCTACTCTCTTTTTAGAACAGTACTTAGCCTGTTGGGGGAAGATATAAATATTGGACAGATGATTGGGAAAGGGGACAGACAGAATGATGGGCATATGAACGAATCAGTGGGATCTGGAGTCAAACAGACCGTAGTTTGGTACCCAATTCCTCTATTCACTTAACTTCGCTAAGCCACCCTTCCCTTCATCTGTAAAATAGGGCAACAGCTGCTTTACAGGGTTATGGTAAGGCTGGACCAAAGTGAAATATGTAAAGCGCTTTAACATCATACCTGACACATGGTGGGCCCCCAGTAAAGCTGGTTTAGAATATAAAGAGGATCACCTTCCATTGAGGGAAACAGACTTGGGAGCTCAGCAAACTTTGATTGCAAACAAGGTTTAGCAACTTAGTGACTCTGAAACCTCCAGAAACTCACTTAATCTTTTTGAATTTTGATTTTCTCATCTGTAAAGTGGGATCAGTGATAGCCCCTCAAAGTGTTACAATGAGACTTAAATAAATAACATATGGAATATGCAGTGTCTAGTACATAATAACTGCTCTGTAAATGATGAATCCAAGTATTAATGTTGTAGCTTAATTTTTATTATGAACCAATAAATTAATGGGCCTCTAAAGGCAATAGAGTGCTGTTATAATAGATTAAGAACAGATCCTAGACCCAAACACCCTGGTTTCAAATACAGGTTCTGTGTCTTTTGAGCTGAAGTGTCCCATC